GTTCTCCCAGCCTCGCTGCTGAAATGGCAGGAAAGCGCATTCTTGGATCAACTGTAGGCATGGGCAAAGCTCAAAGCTCAGCTTGGCCCAGGCTGTCCTCCTTCCACAGCTCAGCTTGTGCCCATTTCCACACCAAACTGTCCAAAGCGCCTGGCTTGTGTGTGTCCATTTCTCATCACAAGCCCATTTTGAATGCCGTCTTCACATGCACATGCCTTTGTGCACATGTTTTCAAACATGTTTTTTCCATTGAATAAAGTCGTTTGTGAACTGCAGTTTGCACTGCAGACTTTGCAAAATATAGATTTTAGGCATCAAACCAGCATTATTGTTTTTGTGTGAGGAACGACACAATCAGTATGTCTGTAAGGAAATACATCTATTTTTTCACCCATCCCTAATCAAACTTCAGCACTGCCACATCATTCCTTTTCTGTTTCTATTTTTTAAAGCTTCACATGTATGCTTCTCTTAGCATTAATATTTTGCATCATGAGCATCAATGTTGTGATCATCATTATTTTAACACAAACATGTTCTTCATAGAATCACAGAATAGTAGAGTTGGAAGGGGCCAAGAAGGCCAGCGGGTCCAACTCCGTACTGGTGCAAGACACCAATGTGCACCATATGTGTTAAACTGTTGTGGGAATAGAAGGTGTTGACACGGCCAGTAATACCCGGTCAAGCCACACAAGGCAGCTTCTGCTGTGAAAACACTGAGGCCTTTTCCTTTGCTTTTTTCCTTTTAAAACTTGACTGGAGAGCATTGGGTTCATTTCAGCCGGATCCCTTCCCATTGTTTCTAGCCCCGTACTTTTCCTTTAAGCCAACAGCGTCCCAAACCAAAGTAAGCCCCCTTCGGGCAACTAAAGGATCAATGGGACCTCGCAAGACTGTTTGGCTTCCCTGGTCCCTAATGTGTGGGCATCTGGGGTGAGGCCAGGCAAAGTTTCTTCAAGGGGCCCGGCAGTATAATTGCACTTAATGTAAATCTTATGAAGAGGTTTGTTTGTTTGTTTGTTTGTTTTTAAGCTGCTATCATTAAACTGTAATAATATACAAAGGCCAACAGCTTCTGTACATCAATTGCGGTAAAGTTTACTGTAATCCCCAAGAATTTCCCGCCTGTTAGCATTTCCACATCTGCTGGAATGTTTTGTCTGCATCACCGCAAAGAGTTTTGTTCACTTACCATTTCCTAAGTGAGAAGAATTAGAACAGGTGAAACGCAGCCTGCTTGTAAAGCGTCTGTTTGCACAAAGAGCAGAGAGATTCGCTTGCATGTAGGAATGTGTGAGAACTCTGCTTGAGGGTGGGAAGCTTTGGGATTGCCTGGGTTTGGCTCCCTCGACTCCAGTCTGCTTCTCAGCAGTCCAGAGCCCCGGCTGATGAGGAAGGTGGCCGATTGCACAGCCAGGGCTCTGCAAGCATTTGCAGACTTCCTCTTATTTATTTATATTTATTGAAAATTGTGTATGCCAGTCACTCAGCCTTGTTGGCTCTCTGAATGGTTTGCATTCAATAAAATCCCAAACATAGTGCAACAGTGAGCACTGATAAACATTCCAATAATATGTAAAGCTAAACAAAACAATTTACAATATAATTAGGCAAATTAAGAAAGACAGGACCTCAATAAAAGCAAATAAAAGCAAAACCCAAACCAAGCTCTTAGGCCCAGCTTGTTCTGCAGGACTGAGCAGGGAGGATGTTTCCACAGGGTTCATCTCAACCCTACCTACCCATCCAAGATGAACCTTTCAAGTAGCGTGGTAATTTAATATTATTTTCGCATACATTTGAGAATGTGATACAAATTATTTGTGGTTTAATGAGTGAGCCTGAGCTTAAGTAGGGTGGTAAGTTGTGGATCCCCATAAGAAAGGACATGCATCCCCAAAAGAAAGAACAAAAGAGGACCCTGATTTACATAAATTTTGTATATAATTTCTATGTATGAATGCAGATTGAGAAATAATTGCAACCATTTAGAAGTCTGGAACATCACCATAGCCCCAAAGACTGTGTTCAGGTGAATTGGGTGCCTTGCTCAAGCTGCTGTCCAGGTGTTGGTAGGCACATTGAGGCCCACCCCAACCCTTCTGCCTTGAATGGGACAGTTCTTCCAGTAGAGGACACCTTGCGAGTAGAGGACTGTCCTCTGGCAGCCTTCCAAATAGAGGACCAACCCTGTGAAAGAGTACACATGGCCACCCTGTTTCAATATATGTCACGAGATCGTCTGCTTTTGTTCACTTCTTGGAGAGTTTGTGTCTCAGGGTAGCTTGTGGTAGACCTAAAAGGGAACATATTGAGATAATTACATTTTATTTCATTTCTGTACTGCCTGTAGCCAAATCTCTAGGTGATTTACAACAAAATGGGCTTGGCCTACAGTTTTATGACCTAGCCTTCATTTCTATATTCAGGGAGGTTTTCTCTGGGGGCAGAGCAAGGGGCCTTAAAATATTGAACCCCACACTTGCAGCCTGGATGGAGCTAGCCCAGGAGAAGCTTTTACCAGACTTCGCACTTTCTGTGTCGACAACAGATCTCCAGATCTCTCTCGCAGGCTTATGCTTGTCGTGTTTCATTAGACACCAGACTTTTTGCCATGGGCCCAATGTTTCCATCTTTGCGACAGGACAGATGTTGCAGTAACCTGAAAAATGAAGCAGCAGCAGCAGCCTGATGCCTGGACAGATTCTGTAGAAACCTCTGTTGCTGCGGCTGTATTCTGCATAGTCCAGTGGCACCCGGAGACTAGGAGATCCTAGAGCTGCAAATGAAACAGCCACGGGGAGCTGTCCCGGTTCATTTCAGTTCTGAGCCAGGCGATACAACAGTCGAAAGCTTCAGGGCCAGCATTTCACACAAACATAGCCAAGTTCTGTGCAGTCTGCTATCACAAAAACTGTGTTTTATCCTGCCACACACAACTACCTGCTCATTCAGCCAATGCGGTTTGTAGTTAACGCAAAACAACAACAACAACAACAACAACAACATTGCTGTATTGCCTCCAAACAAGTGCCAAAGTTTGGAGCTAGCTTAGAACCAAAAATCCCAAATTTTGAGCAACCACCAGAAGCAAGTCTTCGGTGTGTCTTTGGTGTGCCATAGTGAATGCTAAAACTAAAAAAAATCCACCTTCTCGTATCTCCCCTGAACATATGCCAAAGCTTTGAGTTGTGTGTGTGTGTGCACAACAAACCCTGACTTGTATAGGCATGTGTACCCAGATCCCTTCAAAAGGCAAGTGTAACTCTTCTCATCAAGAGCCCAGCCAGCGGGGTGCTCAGTCTCTGAGCAAGGCCAGGAAGCCAGGTTTTCCCCAGCCACCTTGCATGACTTCTCCTCTTCGCAAGTCGCATTCTGGCTTCTGCTCCTTATATTGTTTACCTTCTTGTGAATTATTGGTATTCAGATTAAGCAATTAGGCAGTACTGCAGTGCTTTAAACAGTCCTCAACTAAAGTTGGCCAGATTGTATTTAGAAAGCTTTGCATCTGCTTGCTTAGCATTTCAATGGCATTTATCTGAGAATAAATAAAATATGGTTTTGGAAATTAACTCTCGGTGGTCCTGCAAAGTTCTTTTAGGGTTTTGGTAACCAAACCTGGCTCAGGGGAGATGATTAAATATCAGCCAAATCTTGGAGGCAAAATGACACAGGTTTGTAGTCAAAGATTACAAAAGAAAATCAGACATAGGAATCAGAAGTTATTCAGGAGGAGGGAACTGTCAATCACATGCTGCTCTGGAAGTCTTATCAAGATGAAAGATCCAGAGGCCAGTGAGGAAGGCGTGCAGTGAGGGTGGAAGATAAGTAACCTCTGCTTATCCATGACCCACTGCCGAGTCAAGCAGTCTGCTGGGCCCCATTCTGAGAAACAGGAGATAGGAAGCGGTGAGCACTCCCAGGGTCTGCCAAAAACGGAGCAGCACCATGATTGGCTGCTGCGAATGGCAGCTGGCATCCCTCTCGCTGAGCCCGCTCCCCCACATGTTCAGGGGGAACCAGGTCTTCACAGAGCCCAGCTGTGTATAATTCTCAGCTTGCCCAACTCTTCTTTGTCTCTGTAGTTAGTTGCTGGACATTTTAGAGCTGGAAGGAAGAAAGAAACATTGGGAGCGTGGGGAATATTATAGCTTTGATTGCTGAAGTTAGCATATGTTAAAAGAAAGTCCCTGGTTGATGGCAGCTGAGGCTATAGAGGAATGCAATAGGATGCAATAGAGAAATGTTGCACCCAGCAAAAGAAAATTTTGGAAAACCTTTGGAAGATTCCTCTGCAGATTCCTCAGATTGTTTGGTTATAGCCAAGGCTGCAGGTAAGCCATACATTTGCAGGAGCCTAGGAAAAGTCTCAGGGGCACAACAAATCCTTGATGGGAACCTCTGCATTCTTGCCCTTTTTCTGCATAAAAAAAAACAAGTTGCTAGTCCCTAGGGCTGAAAATACAGGCTTGAAAGCATGTGGGTGCTGCTTGCTGATTTTTCACGGTCAAACAGATGTCTGAATTAAGAGAGTTCAGAAGTTGCTTTTCCATGGCTACTTAAACCAAAATAAATTTAAGCAAAATAGCAGATATATCAAAATAGAAGAAATTATGCAACTGTGCTCAGTGTGTGAACCAATTCAGGGTGCAAAGTTTCAGCTTATTTCAAGACTGGCTACACCCGGTTTCCATGCAGCTGCTGCCTTTGCATAGCCAGCTATGTTATGCCAAACATTATCTGCATGTAAGCAGTATTTTAACAGCAATTCATCAACATGAAGTTCAGGGCATTTAGTCATGACAGTTTTAGCAGTCCTTGATCTGAAAGAGCCCTGGAGTGAAACTTTTGAAGTGCTTGTTTTAATGAGACTCACATACCATACCTTTGAATACTGGGACTTGGTGCTTCACTTGTGAACCCCCAACAAATACGTTCCCGCTTTCCTCCTTTCTGTATTGTAATTCTTCCCTGTCTTTCTTTCCCTTATTTTAAAGCAACGTGGATACTAAAGAACTGTGCGGTGAGTATCTTCATTTTGGCTGCCTGATCATTGTCACCAGCAAATATATCCATCCTTCACAGCATTGGCACCTTCTGTATTCAGTAGCAACATTTTAGGAGTGCCAGAAACACCTGTGTCAGCGGTGCTCAACCTGGCCTCCTCCAAATGTTTTAGGCATCATCCTTCACCACTGGTCATGCTGTCTGGGGCTGATGGGAGTTGAAGTCCCCAACAGCTGGACAGCACCAGGTTGGGAAAGGCTTCCTTTTAATAACCCAGCAATTGTGGGAAAGAAGGAAGGAAGATTTGCTGATGGCTGAAAATCTGTCTCTGCTTGGATGCCTCCAGAGATGGAGGTAACTGCTTTGGGCGAATCTAGTGAAATATAGATAGCATTGTGAATGCATGAGTAGATAAATTGCCTAAGTGCTTTTTCTCAGGAATCTTCCCTCATCTGGCCCCATCTAGAAGTGCTGCCTGTGGGATTATGGCAACTGTAATCCAGTGCTTGCAGATGGCATCAGATCAGGGAAGACTGACCAGTAAGGTAATTTCACCAGATGTTTGACAGCATTTGCTTGTGTTTCGGGAAAAGGAGTGAAGCAATGAGAGGAAGTCCTTGATGTCCCACACTTTCCACTCTGTTAAACCACATTCTCGTATTTCATTTTATAAGATGAATTGTTAAGGGCTAGGAATTAAGCTTTGTGCTACAAGGCCACATAAGAACATAAGGAGCTTGAAGAGTGAGCCAGACCCTTGGTCCATCTAGCCCAGTTTAACCAACGCGGACTGGCCGGAGCTCTCCAGAGCTATGGAGGGGGGACCTCTCCTAGTAGGAGGAGGTAGAAGATTGAGCTTGGACATCAGAACTGGGAGCAAAGGGGAAAGTTAGCAGCTGCGCAGTTTCCCTAAAAGGGTACTCTGGCCTGAAAGCCGCTGCAGCCACACCTGCTAAACTGTGGTGTGTTTGCTACACAAAGCATTCCATCTGCAAGAGCCCAAGGATAACTCAGTACCAGCAGATAGTCTGCTCAAGTTGAAAATCCTCTTATCAGCACCCCTCTGAACAGAAACTCTTCAAATACCAAGTGCTGAAAATAAAGTAAACGTATCTAAATGCAGAGCAACCCCAGTGCTGGCTTGCTTTGTGGTTTTGGTTGTGCACTTGCTGTCATTCCCAACAGCTACATCTGCAGAAACTGGTGGCGTTTCCACGTCCGTGGAGTGGGTCATCTGCTGTGCCTCCGGACTGAACTTTCACGGAGCTGTCCGTGGTCCTGAGCTATAGCCCCACTCCAGATTCAGCACCGTGGCCAGATCCTCAAAGTTTGACCCGCCTGTTCCAGTAGGTAAAGTGGTGCCAGTGGCATTCACTTGTAGGGGCAGCTTTGGCCGCATTTGGCATCCTCTGAGAACACTGGAGACCCTTAGCTTTGCTTTGCTGGCTCTTGACTCTTGGCTCAGCTTTGCTTTGCTTGGCAACCTTTGCTTCATTTATTTCTAGGAGAGCAAGTAGAACACCCGCACAGGGTGGTCACTTAGATATCACCACAAATCGAGAAAAGAGGGCATGGGTTTGTCAAATCTGCATGTGCATAGATGCCAATTTAGAGACAATGAGTATGGATTACAGAACAGATACTGTAAAGAGGACGGCTGTGACCAGGGGACCCCTCTGTGGATGGGCACCCTGAGCCATTTGCTTCAACTTTAAACCAAACTTGGACTGGGTGGCCTTCAAAGTGAGAATGCCTTCACACAAAAAATTCTCCCCTGGCAGTCCTTCAAATAAAGCACTGGGGTGGGGGCGGGGTAGGGGCAGGGGAGTCTCTTCTTTTCCTTTCTAAACTTATGACATATTATAGAGTACAAATACCTCTTGGTAACTCTTGTGAATTCCGTAATGTTGAAGAAGTCCAAAACATGCACATGCAAAAGGACTTCTACATATTTTTCCCTTTAAATCTCTCCATATTTTGGCTTATATTTACAAATATTAAAATTGCATTTCTGACTGATAAAATTCCTTCGTGGATTTCCAGTTATTTAGGGGGAACACTTTATCCTTCTCTTTTTTGCAGATATTCATCATTTATTATATTGATTTATATCTGACCTAATCCCAGTATCCAGGAATCAATTCATTAATTCTACCATTTTCACTAATTTTATGCCTTCAATAACTGGCTTCTAACAGTGGATGCCTTCTTAGTTTTATTACTATTTTGGCTGCCATTAATAAAGCCCAAGTTAACTTGATGTTTACTTGACACCCCGGGCAGAATCTGTTGGCCACTTATGCCCCCACCAATTCTCTTGTATCTTGCCAATACCTGCCTGCAACAACCCACCCCCAGCTGGGAATAACAAGGTGCTCAGAACCAGAGTGATGGGAAGCTGCTCATTTTTGGCACTCCAACATGCTTCCAGTCTTCAGCTCACTCTTCCCTGACTCTTGCTTCTCTCCAATTTTCCATGCACACAACATGTTAAGCAGCCTCATGGGTGGGAGGTCACCTTCTCAAATCTCTGATGGTTCCCACTCAGGGGAGATCTCCAAATACCTTTTAATCGCTACCTTCTATTGAGGAAGCACCTGCCACCTATCCCAGCCCAGTAAGAAGCCATTTGCCTGAAGAAGGAATGTTCTTTGAGCAGTCTCAAGATATATCACTTGGTGATCCATCATGGATTGGTATGCCTGCGATACCATAACCTCACCCAGCTAAGGAAAAGAGAACTGGTTCAGCTCCCGGCACCCTGCCCAGCCAAGGTGCGCAAACAAGAGGTCGTTGAGCAAATGAGTGACGGATGAGAGTAAATTCCTGGATCTTTCTCAGTCTGGTGTTGGAGCAGAAGCTGCCGGGCTTGCCTGGGGAGATGACCCATGCGAAGAAAGGGACAGAGGAAATGGGGCCCTTTTAGTTCTGATGGACCTCTCAGATCCCAGCAACCATGGTATCTTCCTGTTGGGGCTGTGGAGCAGGGACTGGATGGGAGGCGATGCACGGAGTTCCAACCCAGCATCCAGACGGAGATTCTGGTTTAGGTGGATTGTCTGCCCACCGGAAAGTTTTTTGTCTTGTTCTGGAGGGGCTAATGCACTCTTGGCTCCTTCTGTCAGGCAGCTCGGAGGTGCAGGTGACCTTGGTGACTGAAATCCCTCTTCCTGAGCCCTACACTCTGGCCCTACACTGCCAGCCCTTTGTGCCAATGCTTGCACCGTGTTATATGTGGGGCTCCATTAGTCAAAAGCAAGTTCCACTGATTATCAGTGGAGACTGGGCTATGTGATCCTGTTTTGCTTTCTGCATTGCTGCCGCTGGGTTGCAGGACCTCATTCATAGCTCTGGGCTTAACCTTTGAAGCCCTAAGAGGCTTGGGCCAGGTTGGAGGATGGTCACCTTCCCATCATCTGAAGCCCTTTGCTAGCTGTCTTTGCAAAGTGAGGTTGGGGCAGCTGGCCTTCTTCATGGTAGTGCCCCAGTGTAGAAGACTCACCTGGCAACTATCGCACCATAAAACCCAAGGGCACTTACCTGCTTGTCTGTGATTTATCCTCACAACAACCCTGCGATGTAGATTAGGCTGAGAGTCAGTGACTGACCCAAAGCCAGCCTGAGTGCTTTGTGGCCAAGTGGGGACTAGAAGCCAAATTCCCCACCTGGTAGCCCAAGAATCTAACCACTGCACCACACTGCCTTCCCGGGCGCCATGTAGCAGGGTGGACAACTCTGCAGGGGTCCAAAAAGCCTCTTTCCACCCTACGGGAGGCATTCCAATGGACACATCACCAAAATTCAGCCATGCGGGGTGGCAGAAGCTAAACTAGAAACTGAGGAGCTACACGCGTCATTCCTCCCTCCAATATACAGGGCTTTTGCATACCCTCTTGAAATCCCCATCCGTCTTCCCTCAATTAGTCCATTCACACATTCCGCTCCTGTGTCAAGCATGCATGTGTGACAAAGTCTCATCCCAGGCAACAGGCATTCTGATACCGGATTAGTGTCCCTATCAGTGTGTCTCTCGGCTGACATTTATTTACAGATGCTGCAAATCTCGAGTCATCCAGAGTGAAAAATGACTCCCTTATGTTTGCAAAACCCTTTAATCAAAATTACAATTTAATCCCTTCTCAAACCTGCGGCTTTCCAGACCTGCCCTTATCAAAACAGCAATCTTGTTTGCTTCTCGGGATTTATGGACTGTGCAGTAGGTTTTGCTTGATCCTCTCTGGAGAAAGGTTTGCTTTATCTATTCCTCTGTAAGCGATTTATCTTTTTGCTCCTTGCTGTACTGGGGAAAGTTCTGCAGCTGCTGGAAATTACAGCCGAGCCGCCATAGATCACTGTGAAAGGCTGTTGTCGTCTTCCAACGGCTGCTGCCACGACTTTTGTGCCACATCCCTACTCAGAGAGAAATATGCCATTTTAATTAAGCCAAGGAGGCTAATTAATGGCATGTCTCTTGAGGTTATTTATAGGAGAGCTCTGCAAAAGATGTCAAATCAATATGAATTATTGCTGCTTTTTTTAACATAGGGATTATGGCACCATCAATTTCAGCATTCGGAAGAAGTAAAAGGGACTCACTTATGTGTCTGTGCTTGCAGTTTAAGAACTGCCGAAGTTCATTAGAGAGTTCAGCCTCCAAGGAGGGTTCAGATTAGTGAGGTGCCCCCCCACACACACACACAAGCACATTTTCAGACTGTCATTCTCCCACAATTTTAAACATGATTTTCCTCCTCCACCACCCCATCAAAGCAACTTTCAAAATATCCTGAGCCCCAGCCATGAAGGGCTTTAAAGGTAATTGTTTGGAATAGATCTAGTTAAATGAGTGGGACTTAAGTATGGCTAAGATATATCCCATTCATCCCAATGGATTGACCTTGAGCAGCACTTACATTGGACTTTACCCAGTGATCTTTTTTATGGTGTCAGCAACCTTGAATGCAGGAGAGATTGAGGTTAAAAGTATTCGGGGAACTCAATGCAGGTGTAAACTGAGTCTCAGTTTGGGGAAATCTGTCCGCTGAGGCTTCCTTACAGATCCCTCCCACATATTCAGGGAAGACTGGGACAACGTCCGTCACCTCTCCTGCACCTGACAGTGTGTTCTGGCACCACCCTTCTAACCTCTGAATGCTTGAACGATTGTCCCTCCGGTGCCACGTACTTTTCAGGCCCACTCTGATCGAGTCAGTGCAAGGCCTTCACTGTAGTGGCACCCACGATGTGGCAACATGTTCCCCCTGAGCATGAACACGAGCCAGCACTTTTTATTTTAGGCAGATTTTGAAGACCCGCCTGTTTGTGCAGGCTTTCCCTGTGCAGTGTGACCTCCCATCTTATGTCAGCTCTGCACTGGTCTTCATTTTTATGCATTTATGATCTGCATGTTCCCCGCTTTGAAAACTTTGGATGAGAACATGGTTTAGAATTATTTGTAAATCCCATAGATAAGCATGGAACTGGCAGCTAGATGTACACGGTCATCATCTCCGTGAGACTTCGGAGACAATCACACACCGCCTCTGATTCTGTGAGGGATTGCCCTGCTCAGGCCTCTTGCTGAATGCCCAGAGGTCCGGGTGCAGAACTGCTGAGCACAGGAGTGTTGGGGGTGGGGGCCCGAGGGCCATGGCCCCCTCCCTCCTCCGCATGATCAGCAAATTCCCGGACCACATCTGGAAAGGACTCTTCAAGCTACTGGCATTCTAGTTGGGTGGGGCAGATGAGCGATTGAAGGCCCTCCTCCGGGTACTCACCCTCCTAATATCTTTCATGGAGGGTTCCCGGAAGAGAGCCCCTGCCGCCGATCTCAAGGGGCGGGAGGGCAAATATGGATGCAGGCGCTCCTTTAGATATCCAGGTTCCAAGCCGTTAAGGGCTTTATAGGTGATAACCAGCACCCTGAATGCCTGCGCCAGCACCAGGTTGTTCTAGCACTGGATTTCCTTTGCCAAGGCTAGAGACATACTGAAACAGGGAAGCCTGGTTTGCTTGAAACCAAATGAAAGTTTTTCTGCAGAATTCTGTCTGTAAGACAGAGCACAGTTTTCCACAGTTTTCCCAGTAAATTTTCACAAATTCATGCCAGGAAAGCGCCCAGATGTGATGCAACCAGCAAAACCGATTCCTGCAAGAAGTCCTAAGCCACGTGCTTTTTCAGGTGCAGTTTTGTGCAAAGCAGCACTTGAAAAAGCCACCACTCTTTGGCCAGAAATGCACAGAGAGAGACAAGCCACTCATTTCTGAGGTACAAACTGATGTCTTGCAGAGGTGTGTAGTTAATCTGTGGGACTCACTGCCATGGGAAGTGGTGATGGCTACCAGTCTGGATGTCTTTACAGGGGGATTAGACAGATTCTTGGAGGAGGAGGCTATTTGTGGCTACTAGCCTTGCTGGCCTTGTACTTCCTCCTTTAATGGAGGTGGCTGCCTGCAGACACCAGTTGCAGAGGGGCTTGGCAGGAGGAGGTCTTGCACCCCTCCTGCTTGAGAAGTCCTGGGGCAGCCAGTTTCTGACTGTGTGCACGGAGTGCTGCACTGGATGGACCTTGGATCTGATCCAGCAGGGCTTTGCTTATGTTCTTATGTTCCTTGTGGTTCTAACTAATTTTTCAACTAGTAAAGCTGGAATGCAGCATTTTCCTTGCTAGTGTTTCCTTGAAGGCAAAGCTTGAATGCAAAGGGAAGGATTTTTCTGGTCAGCCACTAGCAAGGCATTAGCAAGGCACTGAAGCCAACAAGAGTTTGAAGTCCTCCCCTTTCTTTCTGTTCTCTCTCTTTGCCCAGATTATTTCACTGACCACATGGGGGATTATGAAGATGTTTTGGCTTCCCTGGAGACCCTCAACCTCTCCATTCTGAAGGCGATGGATTACACCAAGAGGGTGAGTTGATGCTTCCGTATGCAACAGCCAGAAGCTTGGACCGTGTTAGCTGCTTGGTGTCAGTCTCCCCTGTTTGTATCGGCTCCACCAGCTTCGTTTCCGTTCCTGGGCTTAGTTCCAAATGCAGCCTTGCACTTTGCCACAGCTTGAGCCAGAATTCCTAAAGGAAGCTGTCCTCCCAGGTGAACGGGGAGGCCAGGAGCTCCAGTGCCAGTGGGGTGATTGACTCACTCTGGGCTCGGGCCCAAACCTTCAGGGAGCTATCCATGGTGCTGGGCCGTACTCCCCAAGTGGGTTCAGCACCATGGACGACTCCTGACAAGCCAAGACTGCAACCTGGCATGGAGGAAGTGCACCATTGACATTGTAGCCTCCAGCGACTCTGATCCTGCCCACCCACTTGGGTCGCTGTTTGTGTCTCCCATCCCACCATCTTTGGGCAGCTGGCTGGAAAATGGGAAACAGAAGGGCATTCCTGACTCTGGGATCCCCTGTCCCAGGAGAGAAGTCCAGCACTGCCCCGGTTTCTAACTCAGCTGATACTTTTATTACTATTCCGGAATGTCCATACACTGACTATTCACTGAGTTGTTATTATGCTTGTGCTTCCTCCATGTCTGCATTTATCGACTGTCTTTTAAAATTATTTTATCATTTATTCTCGTATTTGTCCAAGTTTGCCAATTTGGGCATTTGGAGTAAAAGATGGAAAGGCTGGGTAGAAGCATTTCAGCTAAATAAACATGCTTATTAATTTTCACTTGGCAGCAATTATATCTTCAGCGGCAGTGTGGAGCTTTGGGGGGCACTGAAATGTGTTCATTTGAATTTCATTTTATCCACATAAAATGAATGGATGGCTTATTTTTCTTTAGATTTATCCCTAAAGTTGAAGGAGAAATATTGGTCATGGTCATCACATAGTAAGTTGGTGTTACTGTCTTCCTGACGTTGCAGGGTTCTTGAAGATTATATGAAAGATCATTTTCTTATGAGGCGTTACAGTTGCTTTGACCTACAGTGACACAGCGGCTGATGCTGGCTAATGTTGGATGCACTGCATTCTGGAGCAGGAAGCACCAAGAGGGGGTTGACAAAGCTCATTCTTGCTGCCATCCTGGGGTTAAGCCCATTTATGTCCTTCTGAGTAGACATATGGTGCATGTAGCATCTCACTGTTTACATTCAAGATGCTCCCCATGGTTGCTCCTCACAAGGCGTTGCCTGACCCTTTCCTGAAACAAACCAAAAGTCTTTAAGATCTCTTTAGGATACTTACAACTCAGCTCGTTCTAGATGTTTTGGCTGATGACTTCGACCTCGCAGCATAGCCAGTGGTGAGAAATGGCAGGATTTCTCAGGAGAAATTAAGCACCTATGCATGTGAAACCGATCCATCCCTGGCGCTAGACAGAAGCATTTCAAGCAGAGCATGACCTTCTGTAGTTTCGGTATGAATCGAGACAAGTGGAGGTCGGTTTGTGGGGAGCCGGTGATCAGTTTGTCCGTCACTTTCGGGAAAGCATTGGGTGAGCAGGTGAAAGCACTAGACAACACGTTTGCTTCTTCGATAGCTGAGCGGGAGATGGCCTTTGGCCAGTGGCAGCCCAGCAGGAGAAAGTGCATCAGTTGAGTGCTTCTGGTAATTCTACAGGAACCTTGTACTCTTCCACATGCCATCAGCCTGAAAACTCTCTTATCTCAGTTCTTGCCAGCTTTATTCCACAGTGGCACAAGTCTCTCTCCCTCTTATTTTTTGGAAAGTGCGAAGACACTGTCAAGCCACCTTCTCCAAGCTGGTGCCACCTGGGAGTGTTTGCTCTGAACACTCCAGGCCATTCTGTGTGCCAGCTGGGATTTTATTTAATTTTAATTTTAGTTTTAATTTAATTTAATTTTTTTAATTTTAATTTTAATTATCCTAATCCTAATCTTTTTTGATGTCATGTCATGTCATGTCATGTCATTTTATTATTTTTAGATTTATAAACTGCTCCCATAACCCTGTAAGCCTCTGTGGACAATGTACAATAAATAATAAGAACCAATCATAAAAATAGATGAATACATACAGTATAATAGCAAATACGTATAATTGCAGGAGCTGAATTGCAGGGGCTGTGGTCCAGCACATAGGAAGGGTACCAAACTGGGGAAAGTGGCCATAAAGAGACGGAGGGTGTCTTCCAGTGGGAGGGCCCAAAAGTCTCCAAACACAGAGGATCACCCACATCCTATGGAGGGCAGGAGGAGAAGGGAGACAGTCTTTGCCAGCATGTCCCACGCACCCCACGAGACAGCTAGGCAGCCTTTTTCAGCCATTTTAGCCGTGGCACTTGGGAGAGGGAGGGAGGGCATTTGGAGGATGGCCAGGTGCACCCTATCCTGGCTTGCACTCCTTCATGCCTTCTCCAAGGTTGTTCTTCAAACCTCGGAGCAGCAGGAAGTGTGGATCTTTCCACCTCAGTTGTGTATAACTGGGGGTGTGGATCCAAGCACAGACCCCCATTTCCAAGGTCGGAGTTCCTTTGCAACCTTGGTTCTGGGACTCCAAAGCATCCAACGCCCTCCTAGACTCTGTTTAGGGCAGCCTTGTGCCTTCCAGACATGTTTGGACTGCAACACTGCAACAATTCCCGGTCCATGGCCCTGCTGGATAGGAATTCTGGGATTTGTGGTCCAAATGCCTCTGAAGGCCACCAGGTTGGGGAAGGCTGGTCTAGGGGGTTTAGGTTAGCTCTGCCCAGGTGCAATCCTGTATCCATTTTGCTTCCAGAAAGCCCCCTTGGGTCCATGAGAACGACTTCTGAGTAGTTTATGCTGTGGAGATATCATTCTAATTGCTTTATAGCTAAGTTTATTTTAGTAAAGACTTGGAGATTTTTTTCAATAGTACAAGGAAGTGTTGCACATCAAATAATCTGTGATGGCAAACCCACTCTTGGTTTTCATTTCTGCCAGGAATTCATTATCTCTTTGAATCAGGAATTTAAACAAAGGTGTAATCTAAACAAGGGCAGGAAAGTTCTGCTTTCAAATCACATCATAGATATTTGCTTAGATATTAAACACATGAAAAGGGGGGTGGGGGGTAACAGGGTTCCTGGGTTTCCAGTGTTGGAACAGTTTGTGGATTGATTCGGTCTCCCATGGTGAAAAGGAAGGACAGGGCAAAGAATCTTCAAGGAGACTGACAGTCCCATTGAAGATATAAAATCCAGCTTTTCTGTGAATCTGTGTCTGGCACTAATTCACACACATCACCTTCTTATGCGGCCCAGATAATTATGGTTTAGTCAACTGACCATGAGGGGGGAGGGCAGAATAGACCAAGTCCAAAGTGTGAATGTAGGTTTGTGGCTCACCATTAAAAACCTGATGTTAATAGTGATGTCCCAAAACTGAACATGCCTTTGGCGCCAGAGCCATCGAGCAGAAAGCACGCAGAAATCCATCAGTGTTCAGGAAGCAGCACTAAAAATGGGATGTGGCAAAGTTCCCTAGCTCCTCCCTGGAAGCACGTGAGACATGGGTCCTCACACCCCAAGGACGACCCTCGGTGCGCACTTTTTGCCTGGATGCGCCCAATGGGCGATCAAGCAGTTTCCATGCTACCGTGGTTTCCACCTTCATCGCTCGGGCCTCCCGCCATTGGCTCCTGGCCCAGCAGTCACTGCCCTGCTATTCAACCGCACGCTGGATGACTGGAGCATTGCTCCCGCAGGAAGGGCTGCTGTTTCTAGGAGGCCCTGTGGCAGCTGCATAGAAACCACCGTGCCGAGTTTGGGCAACCGGGAAAAAACCATGGTGAGGCATGGAAACCATAGAAGGGACCGTTCTTCCAAAACCCAAATGTACCGGGCTGAAATACCCTGATGGACCATCCTGCACAAGAAACCACTATGGCTTGTTGTGCATTGCAAATTCACCCAGAGTTTTAGTCTCTCCAAACTGCAGAAGTGAAACCTTCGTTTGATTGGGATGGCTAAGAACTGATTGTTCAGTTTCATGGAGGCTATTAAACAAGACACACCATACAGCAAAGGCAAACCCTGCCCTGCCTTAGAGCTCCTGGGCCACCTTGCTTCTCAAAACACACTTCTTGAATGGAAGCGGGTGTGTTTTTGACTGCAGAATGACTTTCGTTAACTTTCGTGCAGTGTCTCCTTCCTTCTGGGCTCTCTTCTTGCAGAGATAAATTGCTTTTTGTTTGAAAGGAAACCTTTGATATGCATTTGGCTTCATCTGTGTTTCTTCCTCTGTGGCTGTTGCCTTGCGTAGCACTAAACAGGCTAAACTAGAAAAAGCTCTTCTCTCAACACCCCTTGTAGGAACCCCCCCCCCACTTTACTTTTAAAGCAACCGCAGGTGCAACATTCTAAAAATGGCATATTGGGTTCTTCATTTTATTAAAATCCTCACTACAGCCTCATTTAACTTGTGAAGGGCTTGTATAACCATTTTTAATTGGTGTTTATACTGTGCCTCTTGCAAAGGATGTGGATAGTTTGTTTCTTATAAGGAGACATGTGGCAATTATTTTCTTTGGGGAAGCTCATAAACTAGCCTCAGTAATTAGGTGCTAAAGTATACAAGTGAAACGAAGTGTGGGACTACACTGGCTTTTCTGATTTAGTGAGATCGGCGGCTGATGCATCCCATGGCAAAGCCAAAAGTTACAGAGACCATTAAAAGCCGTTGTTTATCATGGGGATAGATGCACTTAAGTCTGCCAGGGGCTGCTATTTTTGTAAGATGACTACAAGGTGACATGATAGCCCTCTACAGGCACTCCAAGGTTGGCAGAAAGAAGAAAGAAATGCTGCTTTTCACTCAACCCAGATTGTAGGACAGTGAACTTAAACTAGAATGCACCAGGGGCAGGCTAGACACGAGGAAGAATTTTCTGACTGTCAGAGCAATAGGACAGCGGGACCAGCTGCCTGGAGAGGTGCGGGGCTCTCCCACACCGGAGACATTCAAGAAGAAACTGGGCAGCC